GGGCGGGAGGCAGAGAGAGGTGCAGGGCAAGTCCCGGCAGCCGGGCCGCCCACAGAGCTGGGAGGCGCCCGGGGCTCCCTGCCTGCTCCCCGCAGCCGCTCCCCGCGGAGGGGAGACACCGAACCGGCTCCGGCCGGCCCCCGGCACGTCTAACCTCCCCTCCCCGGGCAGGGCTGGACACTGGCCAAGGACCCCTGCGACTGGAGCAAGCCCAGCCCACTGCTGAAGCCGGCGGCTGCATGCCAGGGCCCCCCGCACACACCGCTCAGGCTCCAGTCCCACATCCCCTCCTCTGGGAAGGCGGGCTCAGAAGCTCCCTGCCCGCAGGGGCGGGGGGCTGCCTCGGATTGCCAGCCGCGATGGGCTCGTGGGCGGCTCGTGCCCCTCCCCGGAGCACAAGTCGGCTCTCCGTTTACTGCTCTGGGTAGTGTAGCTCCTATCTGCCTTGCAGGCTGGTTTTAACTCCTTCCAATAAATCGGAGAATCGCAGAAAATGAGGGTTGGAAGGGACCTCAGGAGGTCACCTAGTCCAACACCCTGCTCAAAGCAGGACCAGCCCCAACTAGATCATCTCAGCCACCGCCAGGTTTTGAAAACCTCCAAGGATGGAGCTTCCACCACCTCCCTGGGTAACCTGTTCCAGTGTTATACTACCCTCCTAGGGAGAAAAGTCTTCCTAATATCTAACATAAACCTCCCTTGCTGCATCTTGAGACCGTTGCTCCTTGTTCTGTCATTTGCCACCACTGAGAACAGTCTGGATCCATCCCCTTTTGAATCCCCCTTCAGATAGTTGAAGGCTGCTATTAAATCCCCCCCTCAGTCTTCTCTTCTCTAGACTAAATAAGCCCTCAGCCTCTCCTCAGAAGTCAGTCCCCCAGCCCCCTCACCATTTTTGTTGCCCTCTGCTGGACTCTCTCCAATTTGTCCACATGGTTTCTGCAGTGGGGGGCCAAGAACTCCCCCAATAAATTCTCGAGCTGAAACAGTCCTCCCCCTCAGCTGATTATCTTCTCCTGTCTTGTCAGGCAGCCACCATCCCCTCCTGAGCTTTCTTTCCTTAAACTGAATAAATCTAGTGGTCTTTGGGCACATCTACATGTGCCAATTTAAGGTACATTAGCCATTTTTAAGGCACATTACAGGTGCAGGTGTACATGTGAGCACCCTTAATGAGCCTTTAAAATGGCAATTTTTGGCTATCTGAGCCTAAATTTGATACCTGCAAAAGCTCTTTAACACACGTGTAGATGCACTAAGGCACATTAATGCTGTGTATGCCAACTGACTTGGGACTAACTTTAGTCCTAAATCAGTCTGCGTACCATAGTAATGCACCTTAGCACGCACACCTGTAGGCACACACCTAAATCACTTTAATGCGCATTAAGTTTAGGCATATGTAAAAGCACATGTAAACATGCCCTTTGCCTCTTCTTGGAAGAGAGCCTCTCCCTCAGGGAAAGATCCAGGAGCTCCACTTCGCATCTTGTCCCCCTCCCCACTTTGATTCCTGCTCTAGCCAAAGTTTCAAACCAGCTGCCTGGCAGCGGCAGCAGCATTTTTAGTCAGGCAGGGGTTGAGGGGGTCCATTGACTTCATGGCTCATGAAAAGCCACCTGATTCTTTCTAAACCCTTCATTTCGTAGATGCTAAGGACCCTCTCTCCTTTTTAATGGTCTTGATGTTCCACTGATCCAGTGGACAATTCTGCTGTCTGTTTGCTGCTCTGGGTAATGTAGCTCTTATTTAATAGCCTTATAGACTGTTTTTAACTCATTCCAATAAAGTCATATTTATTTTTGCTTCAATCTTACACTGAATAATACAGCCCTAGGACCCCAGCATATTAGGAAAGCGTCTTGTTTCTTTTCACCTGGAGAAAAATGTGTAACATATTATATGTCATGACAATGCACCTCACCACACATACCACCACCCTTTTCAAAATCCTAGATCTGCCTGTTCTCCGTTCTTCAGCTGTCCAGTCTGAGTTCATCTTTTTTGACGAGACGTGAACAAGTATTTTGGATGAGCTCTTGCCAAGACATTGTACAATGGCTATATGCTCAGTTCATCTGATTTGCCTTTTTTCACTATGACATTGCCTTTTTCATATTAGAAGCTCATCGTTATCCTATAATCATTCAGCACATAAATCTTTCTTCTCCTCAATTACATCCAATGGTGAGCTCCCATTTCATAAGAGAGATTCTTACTATTAATTCCTAATTGAGTTATCTTGAAGTTTCTCCTGTTGAATTTCATGCCCTTGTTATTACTCCAGTTCTCTAAGTTGCCTTGTATGATATTCTGACCCTCACAGTCCTACTTTTTGTGCCAAGGTCATTAATACACATTAAATAAAATTAGTGCCAAGGTGTGGCAAAGCAGGGGCTCCCTGACTAGCCACAGTGCTAGTCTCCCCAACTGCCTCTGGGCATGCCGCCCGCCTTTCTCGCCTGCCGTGCCTTGATGACACATAATTAAGGTGTTAGTTAGGTGTAAGGCTGCCCTTCAAACTCCCTGGTCTCCTGGGGCTATGTATGCAGCTCCAACCATCCCTATACTGCATCCCAATGTGCTCCGGCCTGAGGCCAGGCTCAATTCATCCCAGTGTTAGGCCTCTCGCTTTCTGCCCTATTATGGGCCACACTCATACCACCTCCCTATCACTGAGGCCTCTCCCACTCCTCCACCTCTCACACGGTCTCTCTCATACTGCCCCTCCTTTTCCAGGGGCCACACTCACCCTGCCCTTGCCCAAAGGGTCC